AACTGCGGCTCGTGAGCCACATGCGACTCTTTGGCCCCTTGAGTGTGGCTCTTCCACAAAATACCACGTGCGGGCGTGCATGTACAGTGCGATTGAAACTTCATGGCCCATGCGCAGAAGTCGGTATTTTGTGGAAGAGCCACACTCAAGGGTTCAAAGAGCCGCATGTGGCTTGCGAGCCGCAGTTTGCCAACCACTGGTCTGGGGGGTCCTCTCTGACTCCTTTTTTCTCTTTCCTTTACCTTTTTCATCCTTCCAAATTGCCATCCCAACTAATCAATTACCTTATTTTTTTGCTTTTATTTTCCTCAAGTTTATATTCCCTTTTTTAAGTCTCAATTTTTACTGCCTTAGGTCAGACTGACGAGATCTCCTGCCTGGAAATTCTTTCCTGGGTTTCTAACTCATCTTTCTCTTTCCATTTCTTATTATTCTTAAATCTATATGCCACTTATCCAGCCAGAAACACCTGGCTGAAATGCAAATCTGATAGTGACACTCACTGACTTTATGCTGTACTAGCTTTCCGTTGCTTGCAAGACGAACTTTGAACTCCTATCCAGCCTTCCTTCCCCGCTTCATACCATGGACTCCTGATACTGTATGTATAATATTGGGGGGTGGGGCTTGGCACATTGCCTCCTCCCCTCTTATTATAACTTACTCAAAATCACTTGGCTAATATCTCAAACTTTAGGATTCACCTCAAATGCCATCTCCTTCAGGAAGCCCAGGCTAAGAAAGGAGGTCTTTTACTGTCCAGTGATAGATTTTCACTGCATTCTATTGAGTTGACTCATTGTACTATCCTATATAATAAAAGCCTATGGCGGGCTGGCATGGCCATGGCATACTCAGCCACATTGGGCGTCTTATGGGCCGCACCAGCTCAGCCAGGTTCGGTGAGCCTGAGTGGGGGCGGTGAAGAATTGAGAAAAGACAGACAAGAGAATAAAGGCTGGGTCTTGGCGGGATGCTGCCCTCTCTGATGGAAAGAGACAGTGCCATGGACTACAAGTCATGTCATTATTTTATAGCCAGATTCCACGAGGCAAAGTAAGGGCGTGTGGTCAAGATGTTTACAATATTCTTGTGGGTTTCGATCCTAAGTTACATGCTGCATCTGAACTCTATCAAGCCCATATTACTCAGACACATGGGGCCACATGTTCGGATCATAGGTTCAAGCTTACAACTATAGCTGTTGGCTATAATTGTGCTGGGAGGGCTCTGCCCTCCAAGCTGGGACTTGCATGTGGCCATGAGAGGACTGTGCCCTCTCATTAGTCCGAGGCTTGAACCTGTCCAAACACTGTAGCCGCTCTCTCCACAAAAGCCTAATATGCTAAGTGTCTGGTCAGCCAGTCAGCTGTTCAACCAATCAAAGCGTAATATGCTAATGATATGCTAAGGCTTCTCAACCGCTCTCTATGATGTGCACTGACCACCAGGGGGCAGACGCTCAATGCAGGAGCTGCCTCCTGGTGGTCAGTGCGCTCCCACAGGGTGAGTGCTGCTCAGCCAGAAGCTGTGCTCATGACTGGCGAGCGCAGCATTGGTGGCGGGAGCCTCTCCTGCCTCTGCGGCAGCGCTAAGGATGTCTGACTGACGGCTTGCAGTTGGACATCCCCCAAGGGGTCCTGGACTGTGAGAGGCTGGGCTGAGGAGCCCCCCCAACCCCCAGTGCAAGAATTTCGTGCACCGGGCCTCTAGTAGGAAATAAAGCTACCTGAATACTAATGGTCAGGCAAGTATCCTTCCTCTTATACTCCTGGTTCATGAAACTGGCCATGAATGAGTATCACCTGGGAAATTTTTTAAAAGCACAGATTTCTGGGTTTCACTTCTGCTCTAGTAAATCAGAATCTGTTCTCTATATTTTTGTGAGTTTTCCCATGTAATTCTTTTTTTTTAACTATGTTTTTATTGATTTCAGAGAGGAAGGGAGAGGGAGAGAGAGAGAGAGAAACATCAATGATGAGAGAGAATCATTGATGGGCTGCCTGCTGCATGCCCCACACCTGAACCTACAACCCAGGCATGTGCCCTGACCGGGAATTGAACCATGACCTCCTGGTTCATAGGTCAATGCTCAACCACTGAGCCATGCCAGCCAGGCCCCAGGTGATTCTTATGCATCAACCTAGCACCTAACCTCAGGCTAGGGCTAGTAAATCATTAGACAATGTGTCTTTTCATGAGCCTTAAAAAATAATCACATTTAAGAATCAAGGTAAAAAAAAAAAGAATCAAAATCATGTATCACATTTTTAGAAAGATTTGCATTCAAGAAGGCTAACTTTGTTTTAAATTTGTATTAGTTAACATTTCCAGCTCTCCAGAAAACTCTGCATACCATAGTTCATTCACTAATGTTTCTAGAGAGACAAGGTTTTAATTTTTATTTACATCAAGCAATTTATTTTCTTCCTTTCATAATCCCTTTGAAATGGATTTAATTTCTCAGATTAGTTTTCTTTGTGTGACTACTTTTTAGTATATTTTGCTCCCTTCCCCAGGAGAGGAACTGATGATGGTGGGAATTTGGCTCCACAGTTTTCCACATGCACGTATGCTCCCCATGCTGGAGCAGGAAGCTGGTCGTCATGGGCAGATCTGGGGAGCAGAAAAACAGCCACTGTGTGGGTAGTTTGGAAGAAACCTCCCTCTGTTTTTGCCCAGCTGGCTTTAAGTTCCTGGATAATAGAGCAAAAACAATCTGCAAGTTTTGCCTTTGATTTAATAGGGTTTCTGGCTTGTATTTAAAGATTGTCTTGGTTTTGGACCTATATTTTGATGTATTTTATGACATAATTTATTTTCAGTTTTGGTTTTCTATTAGGTACACTTTGTGCAAATACTTATTATTTTTAGTTTTAATTATGTAATTTGGTACAAATCTAGTGTTCTCTTAAGGGAAGTTTATATTACTTTCAGCTTAATTGTATAACAAATTGGTTATAATTTATGTGAGTATTTAAGATTTATGTGAGTATTTATAATTTATGTGAACTTAAGTTATTTCTAGGTGAAAGGCACAAAATACTTGTTTTTTTTCTAAAATATTTCCTAAAATGTATAGCTTTCAGGTCACCAAGAAAATGGACTAATTTAACATGGACATCTGATGTTACTATTATTTTTGTTGTTTTGGTAGATAGCAGCACGTGTTTGCTTAAGAGATTCTCCATATTGTTGAATGCTTAAAATCTAATAGGGAATACAGAGCATTTACACAACCAAAAATACATATTCTGGAGTTGAGAAAAATGTCAAAATAAGTCAGTGGAGCCTGGCCATGGTGGCTCAGTGGTTGAGTGTCAACCTATGAACCAGGAGGTCATAGTTCAATTCCCGGTCAGGGTACATGCCTGGGTTGCTGGCTCAATCCCCAGTTGTGCAGGAGCCAGCCCATCAATGATTCTCTCTCATCATTGATGTTTCTATCTCTCTATCTCCCTTCCTCTCTCTGAAATCATTAACAAATATATATTTTTTAAAAAGTCAATGGAACATTTGTAGGGTCTTCAAAGATTTTGATTCTGGAAAAAAACAAACAAACCAACAACAACAACAAAAACTTCACTCTGCCCTTTTTTATACCAAAATTGGTTGATTCATGTAAGGACAGGAAGGCAACTACAGGTGGATACCCTATGATTGTTTACATTTGTTAATTGCAAATTTTGCTTGACTTTTCATTATATCTCCAGGAAAATGTGCATTGTAATCATGCATGTTAACTTACAATATTAGGTTTCAAGATTAAGACAATTAAACCTATCATTCGTTAGGTTTAGAAATCCATAAAGGCCTGTGACTTTCTCCAAGGTAGTATTTAGGTAATATAAGGTGGTGTCTTTTAAAGGAATATATTGTGCTGATGTATTTTCTCAATTCTGAAGGAAATGGACAGTTTTATATAAATATGTATTATATATACTTAAATCATATATTAAGATGAAAAAAATTTTATGGAAATTGGTTTTAAGTACCACATGTAACAAATGCAGCGAAGTTTTTGGTTTGTCATTTAAAAATTCTTTCAGGTGGGGTCATATCCCTCATAATTGCAACTATTTCATATTCAAGGACATAGTCCATTATGAAGTATTCCTTAGATAATTGGTCTCAAAGACAATGAGAGTAACTATTACCACTTATCCTGTATAATAAAGAGGTAATATGCAAATGGACTGTCATGCCCTCACAAGATGGCTGCCTATGACCAGGCCGGTAGTGGAGTTAGTGAGGGACGACCAAGACTGAACAAGCAGGCAACCATGCAGGCAGGCAGGTGAGCGATTAGGAGCCTGAGGGCTCCTGGATTGGAGAGGTGCAGGCTGGGCTGTGGGGACTCCCCCCCATGCATGAATTTTGTGCACTGGGCCTCTAGTTGTGATAATAAGCAATTAAGTGATTATGTAAGAGATGTCTGTTATGACATTTAGAAAATGTGGTATTTTTTATGTCAGGGCTATAAGTAGAATGACAGCTAAGTTCAAAGCAGGGACGCTATTTGGTAAATTCTTTAGCTTAGTTCAGCGGTCAGGAGCTTAGGCTCAGCAATCAGACTGTTTTAACCTTGATTCTCTCATTCACTAGCAGGTAATCTCTCTCAAGTATCTAAGTTCTGTTTTCCTTTTTGTAGAGTGGGACTAAGGTACCTACCTCATTGTGATAGTTACATGAGAAAATACATGATGTGCTTAGTTAGCATTGCTTGGCACAGTAAATACTCTATAAACGCTAGTTATATGGTTATCAATAATAATACATTTTATCAATTTACACTTCAAAATTACACACTGATTATATGATAGATTGTAAGCTATCAGTGACTTTTTTTTTTTTAGAAAATAAATGCTGCTGGGGATTTATTGTTTGGTCTGGGGAGAGCCATCCCAGGCTGGCAGGGGCAGGAGGGCAGGGCATGAGTGTCCCAGGGTCTCAGGAGGCCGCTGAGCCAGTCCTTTGGGGGCTTGCTGTATAAGGTCTAGTCATAGTTGGGACCAGAGAGGGGTGAGTTGGCTGGTCATGTAACACACGGCTGAGCGGATGCCTTCCACAGTCCTCTGCTCCATCCTCTCCAGCATGGGACTGACAGAGGAAGGACCGAGTGGGTCCCAGCTACTGGCCTGGAGGAGAAGGCCGACCTCACGTTCCCCACGATGCTGGAGACCGAGCAGAGGCTGGGCCCTGGGCTGTGCAGCAGGTCTGTCACGGAGCTGTGTCCCGAGGCCGGGAGGCCAGTGGCCACGCTCATGGTGGCCTCAGACCAGACCAGGAGGTCTGCCAGGGGGCTGATAGACCCCTCGCCCCCTCCCAGCAAGCTGGTCATGGAGCGCATGTAGGCGTTCTTCTCGCAGGCTATGTACAGACTGGAGTCCAGAGGCTTTCTCCCCAGGGCCACCAGACAAGCAGGTCGCATTGCTTCCTGGGGAGGGAGGGACCGGTGGAGCCTGCAGGTCTCTCAAGCAGTCTATCAAACCCCCCTCGGTCACTGCCTGGGACTCAGCCAATGGCCAAGCTTCAGTGTCAGGGTTCACGGCCTCCGGATCCTCAGATTTCTCAGCAGCTTCAGTGGTGTCAAGCTGGCGGTCTGCATCTGCAGTGCCCACTGCAGGCACATTTTGGGGGAACTGTGCTTCAGCACTTGGGGTAGATGGGTCTAGGTCTTGCTCCCTGTCTGGGACACCCGCTGTTTGTGGTGTCTCTTCCTTAACCAGGGAGTCACTTTGGGAAATCCGAAGACTCCGGGCCCTCCTCGAATCTCGCACCGGCCCAGCCCACACTAGGTTCTGGAGACTCAAGCATGTTTGCAGGGCATCTGGGGCCGGGTGGGCTAGCTGGGCGGTGGCCTCCTTGCGCTCCTGCCTGTGCCCTGCCTCAGTTTCACCTTCATGCTGGTTCTCGTCCCCAGACACTGCAGTGGCCTTGGAGGCAGCTGGCTTGATGGAGGCCGGATCTATATCCTGCTGTTCAGTTGACGCTGCACTGCTAGCCACGGGACCATCTGCAGGGAGGGAGACCTGACTTTGGGATCCCACTGCAGGGCTGTCTGAAGACCTGCTGTCACTGTGCGTGGGGATGCCGGCCTCTCCCGAGGGGGCGGTGGCCATCTAGGCCTTGTTACTTGTGCTGCTTGAGGGAGTAGTGATGGCCCTCCTGGGCTGAGTTGTCCGGGTGGTGAGGTCACAGGGGGCTGAGGGCATCTGACGATGTCACAGGCACCGGCAGAGCAGGGGTAGCTGCTTTTAGTGGGCTCAGTCCCCTGGACTGTGTATGGCCAAGTCATTTGAAGCAGCAAAGATTGTCATTTCTCCCCCCAGAGTCTACACCAATGAGCAGAGAGCTATAAACCAATCTAGTCAATTGGTCCCTGAGCTCCCCAGTCTTTGGCTGGCTGCTGCTCAGGATGCTCCATCCCAGCTCTGGGCTCCCAGGGCAGCCCCTCTGCATATCAGCTTTGTAAGAGGGTCTCCAAGTTCTCCCTCTTCCCAGAACTCCCACTTCCTGCCGGGTGGCTTGTAGGCAAGCAGAGTGTGGAGAGGTGGTAGGGGTGGGTGAGCAGGGATGTAATCCAGATGGAAGACACCAGGGTAGCGAAGCGGAATATTTGGACTGGGACTCAGATTCTTTGTCCACCGGAGTCGAAGAATGAAACCAGGGACAGAGGGTAGTATAGCAAAGGTGGAGATTTATTGAAGAACAAGTACAGACTCCCACGTGGGGAGAGGGAAAGAGTCCCACAGAATGGACTTCCACGTGGGGAAGAGGAAAGGGTCCCCTATTAGTGACTTTTAATCAATTAAGTTTATTTGTCTTTTACAAATATACTTTGACTTTAAAAATCTCTTTTTTTTCTAATCAGGAGGCTTAGGCAATTTTTACTTAGAAGCATTTCTGATAAAAATCATGTTTGAATTGGATTTGTAGGATGATGGAGCTTGAAAAATTTTAAAAACCTTAAGAGAGCTTATATCCCACCTATGAATATACTGGTGAGGAGACTGAGTCTATAGAATTTAACTGACTTACTCTAATTGAAATGTAAGAGGAAGAAAAAGCTGTAAATTTGGTTGTTGGTTTTTTATGGTGGTGGACATTAGTGCCTTATGGAAAGCAGAGAAATGGGATGGTCATCTGGACAATAGAAGTCTGATACATTAAAAAAAATAAATGCTACAAATATTTAATGAAGGTCTTTTCTTTTTAATAGATCATGGTTCTGTTGTCTTGGTGTAATTACTAATGCCCCTTTCACCCTCAAAAGTGTCTCAGTCTTTAGACAATATATTTTATACTTTTCCAGTGTAATTGTTTTAATACAGGTAGAGGAGTGTGGACTATGAGAAGAATATACCTGCCAAAAAGGACTCCTCATGGTTAATTGGGCTCAAATTCATAACCAGAGTCTCACAGCCATTGTTTATAGAGGCCCCTAATGCACACTGCATTTCAGTGAAAGACTACAGAATGGGCTGCCCAGCCTCCTGTGCTGTGTTCCTGTCAGCTGAGTTGAGCCTTATAAGAGAGCTCCCAGGATCAAAATTTGACCAATAGGACTGAGACTTTCCCTGTCCAATCATAGTCTCACAGCTATATCCTCATTTGCATTTTTACCAACCATTTTTAGCAGGACAGTGCTTTTTAGATCAATCAAATGTGAGGATTTGGAGCCCTCATTTACATGAGAAGGGACCAATCAGGGACCAGGGGTGCAAACTCCTCTATGTAAGCCAACTTCACTTCTGTCTCACTGGAGCGCACTTTCAGTTTCCATTGAAGAGTGTATTTCCTGGGCTGTAAAATCAAGACTTCCTCCACAGGCTGCCTCTCCTGAGTCACTTCAGAACTGTGCTGTTTCAGGAATGAGCTGAAAGCTGTGTTTTTCCACAACTGAGCTATATCACAATTGAGATGTTTTCAGTGAATAAAATCTTTCCCCACCACCACACCTCAAATTGAAGCCTCCTATTGGCATTGAATTGATGATGGCGATCTATTGGTGATAGCAGCAACCATCTGGTAATTTGTGAATTGGGTAGATCATAAAATAGACATTTTTTTCTTGTTAAAAAACTGGAAAATGGCTGGAATTATTGGACAACACTTTGTTCATCTTCTGAGTGCAATCCTCTGGAAGAGGAGTTAATGGCTTAGTAGGAATAAAAAGATATATTGCCTTGATGGAACTATATGCAAAATGGTGTGTGTGTGTGTGTGTGTGTGTGTGTGTGTTTACATACATATTTTTCTGGGAAGGGTGTCCATATTTTCTGTCAGATTCTCAAAGTTTCTATAATACCTCAAAAGAATAAGAATCATTACTCCACCTTCTATTTCACTCACAAGTTACTGGCCCTTGATGCCCTGTTATAGTTTTTAAATGTAAAATCTCTAACAGACAGGAGGAAAATGCTTTTACAATTAATACACCTCCATAAATTAAACATTCTTTAGTGAAAATTATTAAATTGAGCCATATGAAATGTTGACAAAATCCCTTGAATGTGAAAGTGCTGATAGGAGAGCCCATTTACAGGGAGGGAAGACGCTAACACTAAGGTCTGGGTTTCTGAAATTCATCTGAGCTGGAGCGATGGAATTCTTATCAACTTCTGACCTGAGAAAATGGCCATTTCATATGTTTTAACTAAATGATATCACAAGGAAATTCAATTCGATGAACTGTATTAAGAACCCACTTTTTAAGGAGCCAGTCAAGGAATATAAATATCAATTAGGCATCCTTCTCCATTTTAGAAGAATTTGGAGACACTTAAATTGGGAAATGACTAGGTTTTTATCCAATGTGACTTAGTGGTATTCTGACACAGTGCTATAAAAATGTGATTCTGATGGGGGAGACAGGTATTTAATATAATGCACAACAGAATAAAATGAGCATTAAGCACAGTCTCAAGTAACACTCTGTGGGTACACAGAGAAAGGCAGGGGAAATCATGACTGCAGGCATCAGGAAGAGCATGGTAAGCATGTAATGATCCCTTGTGGGTGGACATAGCCTTGAGGAATTTTATTTGCCCTAGTTTTTTTTTACTGGTTATTCTCCCTCCAGCTCTTGGTCAAATTATTTTTCTCCCCAGCCTCATACTTTTTTTCTTTTGAAGTAGGACGGGGAAAAGTGGTTTCTTAAGATGAGCACATGCTTTCAGAGTGCAAAGCACTCAGCCCTCTAAAGAGTCTAAATATATTTTTAAATCCAAATATAGATAAAAGATATCGCTGTGTTTCAAGGGAGCACACTGACCAGTTGAAGAAGGTTTGCTTTCTTCTTGGTTGTTGTTTTTTAAAGTGCCATGATTTTTAAAAACAATAAGCATTAGAGAAACAGAAAGTACAATTGCTCAGTTTTAAATAGCTGCCTAACTTGGGAACAGAGTCCCTGGAGAGGGCTGGCAGAAATAGCTTATGCTTCCTATTAGCTGCCTGTATTTTAACTTTGCACAGAGAAATATGAAATCTATGTAACCAAAGTATGCATAAGTATGTGTAGAATTAAAAGGCCTACGCAGAACAGGCTCTAGAAGATTCTAGATGCTAGATTGTACCATCACTGACATTATGTGTTATCTTCAATATATTGCCAGTAAATTTATGAACTACAAAACTACCAAAAAAACACACAAAAAAAACCCCAAATAGCTGTATTTGACTCCTCCCCCCCATTATGATGATCTCTTAGATGCATTTCTGTATAGAACAAGCAATCCTTTATGAATTATAGCTGTTCAAATTGCTGAAACCAAGGGAAGAGACCAAGGTTTCTTCTCATGCCACAATTTCTCTGAAAAAAACCTATAAAAATTTTGAATTTTCCTCAGAAAAAAAAAATAAAAAAAATAAAAGGCCTACGTTGCTAAGTGGATAGACTCCTTCAAAGAATACATAAAAATTCAAATAATATAATATAAATACACACACAGACGGTTAGAAGAGGGTTAGAATTATATATTTTTTAGCCTGGTGATAAAAAGACACAGGCCCCATCAAGAGAAAAAGGAAAGCATATACTTCTACCCACATTTAGTAAGTATTCTTGTTAGAAAATAGTTCTTATTACTATTTAATTTATTAAACATTAAAGGCATTTGAAAACTTGATTCTAAAGCTAATTGTCTAGGGCAGTGATGGCGAACCTTTTGAGCTCGGCGTGTCAGCATTTTGAAAAACCCTAACTTACCTCTGGTGCCGTGTCACATATAGAAATGTTTTGATATTTGCAACCATAGTATAAAAAAGATTTATATTTTTGATATTTATTTTATATATTTAAATGCCATTTAACAAAGAAAAATCAACCAAAAAAATGAATTCGCGTGTCACCTCTGACACGTGTGTCATAGGTTCGCCATCACTGGTCTAGGGCAAATGATGGCAGCATGCAGATGCTGGAGGTCGCCTATCCCAGCTTTCCTATTGCACAGTTGAGGAATTTGGATCCCAAGAGAGACTAGGTGGCTTGCCACAAGCCTTCTCTTCCATTGGTTATTTAACCCCATAGCCTTTCCACCATCACACTTGTTTTCAAAATTCATGGCAACCAATAGTTGTTATTAGACAGTTTTATAAGAATGTATGAAACTTGAAATCATTGATTATTACATTCCAATTTTCCATATATCTTAATTATTCCAAGAAAAGGGAAAGAAATTTTATTTTATTTTTTCAATACAGGTTCTTTGGATGTATCTCTATACATGGAAATGAAAGAAGAAGATGGAAGTAAATATTAAAATCTTAGTTTTCAAAATAAATAACAGCTTTATTGAGATATGGTTTACATAGCATACAGTTCATTCTAAAGTGTACAGTTTAATGGTTTTCATTATGTGCACTATATTGTGCATATATCATTGCTATCTAATTCTAGAACATTTTCATCTCTCCCCAGCAAAATCTCATTCATACCCATTAGTAGTCATTCCCTTTTGTCCCTACCCCCAGTTCCTGACAACCACTAATCTACTCTCTGTCACTATAGATAAAATCACATATAACCTTTTGATTGTGGCTTCTTTTATTTAGAATAATGTTTTCAAGGTTGATCCAGGTTTTAGCATATATCGATACTTTATTCCTTTTAATGGCAGCA